GGCAGTTCTCAGTAGTGGGCACATTGGCGTTGACCTCGTAGTAGTTTCCGTCCTCATCGTAGCAGCCGCACTGGGCCACACACTTCATCTGGTCCTCACTGAAGAAAGGCTTGCTGGGTGGGCACTTGGGGTAGCAGCCTGTGGCGGCGGGGGGGGGGGCGCGCTCACTCAGGACCCTTTAGCCCTTGCAGGTCAGGGGGCGGTGTTGCCCCCACCTTCTACAGGCTCTGTCCTCTGCTGTCCTGGGGGCCGGGGCAGTGTCCCGGGGAGATGGGAACAGGCAGTGCTCTGGGCAGATGGGACGGGGCAGGGGAGAGAGCGGGCAGATGACGAGAGGGACGTTCGGGTAGACCGGGGCTGCGTGGCCCACGGGACTGTCCCCTGGCCACCTCCCCTCCACCCACGGGAACCGTCCGCCCCTCACCTTCCAGGCCGGGCAGGTCAAGGAGGCAGCGCCCGCTGGGGTTCCGGCAGGTCCGCATGCAGGGCGCTCCGCACGGCTGGTAGTGCCACTCACACTCCCCGTGGGGGTTGTAGTAGTCGCAGAACAGGGCTGAGGGCAGGAAGGCGGGCTCAGCACGCCCTCCTCCCCGTGGTGGGCGGCGCAGCGCTTGCCATTCTCGGAGTCTGCTCGGTGGGGGTCTGGGCCTCAGGGCCCGGGATGGGGATGTGGGGGGCGCTGCTTCACTTTTAGTCCTGCACTTGCAGTTCCTGCTCCTTGCTAAGCCGTGTCGTTTAGGACGGATCTGTCTGGCTTTATACCTACATATAACCCCAGTGGATGTGCACACACCCGTGTACGTGTGCAAGCATGTTAGGCTCTGTATGTGTGTGCATGTGCGTGCGCGCCAGGCCTGCGGGCTGGGGTGCAGGGACAGCTAGATGCAACGAAGTTGCAGCCCCACCCCTCCTGCAGCCCCGCCCCTTCAGCACCACCGTCAGACCCCGACTCACGGCAGACGTCGGGGCGGCGCCAGGACACGCACACGCCCGCGTCTTGGCAGGCCTGCGCGTAGGCGGCCACGGCGGTGCAGAAGCACTCGCAGTCGCCGCCCGAGTCACAGGCACAGGCATCCCTCACGCAGGCCTCGTAGTACTTGGTGGAGTCGACCTGTGAGCAGAGATGGCCGCAATGACTTCGGCAGAGGACAGCCAGACCCTAGGCCAGGGCCTCTGAACACATCCCTTGACCCTTGAGCATTGGTGTCTCAAAACGCCACCACTGGATTGGAGGCCTGTGGTCCTGGGGCCGGGGCTACGTTCTCTCCATCCACCCTGACCACTCACCTGTGTGCTCAGGAGCCTTCTCCCAGGTCCCAGGCTCCACTCCCCACCACACCCGCCCTGTGGTCCCACTACTTAAACCTGCTCCTGTGGCTTCCAGGCCTCTACCCCCCCTCCCAGTGTCTCCCTGTCATTCTGGCCTCCTGGCTGGCTTCCAGCCCACTGCCCTGCCCACCTCGGCCTACCTTGACCATTTCCTCCCTGGAATGCTGCCCCCCCAATAGCCACAGGTCTCCCCACAACACTCAGGGCTCCACTGGAGAACCACCTCCAATCCCACTGCCCTCCTGTCTAGTGTGTACCTGTCTTGGATGCAAGCTGTCGAGGGCACATGTATCCCTTGCCCAAGGCTGTGAACTGAGGACACACCTGCTCCCCACAGGGCCCTTGATAGGGTCCAAGAGGCTGAGCCTGAGCCGGGACCTCTAGGGCAGGCACTTCGCACAGTGTCCCCGTGAGCACACTGTTAACCTTCTCCTGACCCATGGGGCGCCCCCTGAACCCACACACTGCCACACACCTGCCTGGGGTGCACCCTGGTTGGACCCAGTGAAGCCTGGGTCTTGCTTTTGCCACCACCTCCAGGCAGTCTCATCTGACCCTGGAATTGGCCTTGGCCTGCTCATAAAGGATTCTCGGGGCTAGTAGCAGGGACACCAAGAGGGGTGTTGGTGACCTCTCGAGAGACAAACTGTCGAGGGCAACTGAGGGGCTCTCGTGGCAGCCGAGACCTGTTAGCTGCCAACTCTTCCTTCTCTGCCACCATCCAAAGTCTGGGATGACGACGCTGTGTTCATAAGTGGCCATTTAACTGCCTGTTAACGTGAAGTGTGTGCCAGGCCAGGGGGCGGCTCGAGTGGGGAGGAGCTGGCTAATGGGTGCGGAGCGTGTCTTGCGGGTGACGGAGGCAGCTGGGACATGGACTGCAGTGGTGGCGACACAAGGCCAGTGTACTTCAAGCCACTCACTGAGCTGCAGCCTCGGGAACAGCTAAGGGCGTGAATTCACCGCAACGGAAGAATAAATGAGACAATCTTTGCAGAGCTCCCCCCGAGGCCTCGGCATGGTCAGGCTGAAGGGGCCCCAGCCTATCTTGTTGGCTCTGGGGTTCGGGCAGTCTCAGGGTGTGGGTGACAGTGATGAGGCCAGCCTGGGCAGGCCTTGCTCGGGGCTCCCGCACTCACCCACACCAAGAGCCTGTGGGTGGGACCTGTGGCCCGTTTGCAGGGAGATCTGGGGAGACCAAGGATTTGCTCAGGAAGAGGCCAGAAAGCAGGGGAGACCTGGCCACGGTCTGTGCCAGGCCTGGGAGCTGCTGGTGGCTGGTTCAGCCCCATGACCCGGGTGATGGGCTGAACTGCATCCCCTAGACAGTAACATGGGAGCCCTAGCCCTGTATCTGTGAATACCACCGTATATGAAAATAGGGTTTCTTTTGTTATGCTAACGAGTGCGTGTGGGAGGCGGGCAAGTCCTCAATCTAGTCCCTCTACATGGTGTGGGCTGCCCCTGGAGCCAACTCCTGGAGACCACGAAGCAGAAGGAGATGAAACCGACTCGTGGAGACCCCATGAAACAGAAGGTGAGTCTGACTCCTGGTGGTGGTTGTTGGTATGTGCCGTCAAGTTGGGCCCGACTCATAGCTACCCCTCCTTGGGTATCCGAGGCAGTATCACTACAGAAGTAGTTGCCTCCTGTTCCTTCCGAGGAGTGGCTGGTGGGTTTGAACCGCCAGCCTTCTGGTGAGCAGTCGAGTGCCTTAGGCACCGCGCCACCAGAGCTCTGCTGACTCACGGAGACCCCATAAGACAGAAGGAAAGGAGTCTGCCTGACGAAGATCCCGTGAAGCGGAAGGAGACACTGCGGGCCCTGAGCCCTCTTCCCGAGGGCCGCCGTGCGTGAGTGACGTCTTACAAAGAGGAGCCCGGAGCAGAGACCCACTCGGGGAAGCAGTGCCACATAAGCGCTGCCAAGGATTGCCACAGGCCCCCCAGGAGAGAGGCCACAGCAGGAACCGGCCTGGCCAGGCCCGGGTGTGACTTCTAGCTTCCTGACTATGTGAAGATAAAGCCTCCCCCGCGGTTTTGGTCTGGCAGCCCCAGGACACGGACATCCTGTGAACCCAGGGCTGTGCGTGGGCTCCACTCTCAAAGGCCTGCCGCGTGTGCAGCCCAGCTACCCCTGGGAAGGAAAGGGCACAACCCCGCCAGCCCCACCCCAAGCCCCTGCCTGCAGGGCCCTGTTGCCCCGAGCCCCACCTGAGACCGGCAGGCGGCGAAGGTGGGGCTGTGGAGGATGCTGCATTGCTTCTGGGCCCAGGACTTGCGGTACGGGTTGGTGGTGCAGGGGTCCCTGGGCACACGGGCGTCCGGGCAGGACGGGGAGAACTTCCAGCTGTTGCCAAACTCTAGCACGTCGCCCACCACAGACTGGCTCCGCGTGGTGAAGTCGTTGATGGCGTTGCCGTCAAAGTTGCCACATAGCCCGCACACCTTCCCCTGCACACAGGTGAGGACAGATGGAGCAGGCAGAGCTGAGACGACACACAGGTGGCCAACCACAGGAGGCAGCGCGGAGCTGGGCCTGGGGTGACCACAGGGCACCTGGTGCCTCCAGCAGCTCCCTAGGGACCTGCCCAGTGAGTAAGCTGGGCAGGTGGACAGGTACCTGCTCCCCCATCAAAGCGCTCAGCCCAGCAGGTGGGGCCACAGTGGACTGGGCGGTCACTTCCCCAGCAGGACGGTTCCCCGGGCGCCTGTCTCTTGGTTTCAGCTCTGCCCTGCACCTTGGTGGAGCCACCCCAGTCCCAGGGCTTTCCTGGGGACGATCAGCCCATTGGCGTTGATCAGGCAGGGTTTGGGTGGGTCTCGGGGCAGCCACGACAGGGCTGTCGAGCCAGCCCGAGCTCACCTTGTAGGCTGGGTGCAGCTTGATGAATATGCTGGTCTTGCGGTCCCAGGACACGACCAGCCCGATGCGGGCCTCGATGACCAGGTAGATGCCCATGTAGCGTAGTTTGTAGGGCAGGTTTCCGCCAGGCCCCCTCTCCACCACCTTCAGGTGCCCCTCGGTGAGGATCAGCTCGTAGCTCTGCAGAGGGAGGTGGGGCTGCAGGGAGCTGGTGGGCAGCTCTGGGGCCCCTGGAGAGGACCTGAGCCCAAGCCACAGCAAGCAGGCCCAGGTGTAAGGGTGAGCTGGGCTCCTGAGACCTTCCCAGCGAGCCTGAGGTGAGGGGCTGGTGGGAAGGGCAAAGCCAGCAGACTTGGGCTGTCCAAACCCCGCTCCTTCCAAAGACAGGACTGGCCATACATGGGCTCCTGGGAGGGGGCTGCTAAGCCCGTCCTGTCCAAGAGCAGTGGTCTTGCACACACTCCTTAGGACAGCTCAGAACCTATGCTGACCACATGGTCTATGGTGGGGACATGGGCCACATCACATGGTCTTGCTAACAGCGCAATTATGGTGGCAGCCTCAGGCCACACGGTGTCAGCTTGCCCTCTCGGGGGGGCTGGAGACTGAGCACTGGAGGTCAGCCTCCTGCGTGGTCAGCAACACCTATGTGACTGACCTCCAGTAGAAACCCTGGCCAGAGGCTCAGGGGAGTGTCCCTGGTTCACACGTGTGGTCCCACATCACTGTGGGGGTAGGAACCCTGTCCTGACTCCAGTGGGCATGGACGCTGCACACTCACGCCTGGGCCTGCTCGCCCTGCCCCGTGGGCCTCTTCCCTCTGCTGTCTCTACTGGGCCATTTTACTGGTCCTTGACCCTGTAATGATGGTGCCGCTGAGGGCTCCCCAAGTCCTGTGAGCCTTGCCAGTGAATCGTTAACCTGAGGGTGGTCTGGAGGATCCAACACAGAAGCTGAGTGAAAACAGTGGTGGGCGAGGGGGCTGGAGGGGCCCCGTGCCAGCAGAGGCACCGCCACACGCAGCAGGGCAAGGGAAGGCCGCGGTGGACTCGCTCCCTCCACGCCCCACTCCTCCGTCAGGCCCGCCACCTCCAGGCAGCTCCGTCCCACCCGTCCCCAGCATTGCCCCCACTGACCCCTGAGTGCTGTGCAGGCATCATGCCCACACTGCCCCGGGCAGCAGGGACATCCGCTGGCCACAGGCCTGCTTTCCACCATGAGGATTCTGACCCCTGTGCTGGAAGTGGGGATTCCTTGGTCCATCAGCTTGAATGGTGGCCCCCAAATGACGTGTCCATATCCTAAGCCCAGAGGCCTGTGGCTAAAGTTATTTAGAAAAGAGTCTTTGTGGACATGATGTTAGAGCTAAGACCACACCCTCCTGCATTAGGGTGGCCCTGAGTCCAACCATGGGTGTCCTTAAGAGAGACACGCAGGGGAGAGACAGAGGGAGGGGAGAGACAGGGAGGGAAGAGAGACAGGGAGGGGGGAGAAGAGGCGGAGGGAGGGAGAGGCAGAGGGAGAAGAGAGACAGAGAGTGAAAAGAGAGGGAGGGGAGAGATGGAGGGGAGAGATGGAGGGGAGCGATGGAGGGGGAAAGATGGAGGGAGGGGAGAGACAGGGAGGGAGGAGACGGGAGGGGAGAGAAGAGACAGAGGGAGGGAGAGGCAGAGGGAGAAGAGAGACAGAGAGGGAAGAGAGAGGGAGGGGAGTGATGGAGGGGAGAGATGGAGGGGGAGAGATGGAGGGGGAGAGATGGAGGGAGGGGAGAGACGGAGGGGAGAGAAGAGACAGAGGGAGGGAGAGGCAGAGGGAGAAGAGAGACAGAGAGGGAAGAGAGACGGAGGGGAGTGATGGAGGGGAGAGATGGAGGGAGGGGAGAGACAGGGAGGGGAGAGAAGAGGCAGAGGGAAGGAGAGGCAGAGGGAGAGGAGAGACGGAGGGGAGACAGGGAGGGAGGAGAAACAAAGGGAGGGGAGAGACGGAGGGGAGAGACAGAGGGGAGCGATGGAGGGGGAGAGATGGAGGGGGAGAGAGGGAGGGGAGAGAGACAGGGAGGGGAGAGATGGAGGGGAGAGACAGAGGGAGGGGAGAGAAGAGACAGGGAGGGAGAGGCAGAGGGAGAAGAGAGACAGAGGAAGGAGAGACGGAGGGAGGAGAGACAAAGGGAGGGGAGAGAGTGGGGGAGAGATGGAAGGGGAGAGATGGAGGGGAGAGACGAAGGAGAGGGAGAGACAGGGAGGGG